TTGCCTTAATTAAAATCATAGTGCTATTGGGAGGGAAGGAATGACTCTGTGAACACCACTACCCCCTACCCTGCTACTTGCCTGGGCAATGCTCATGCACACCTCACCAGGTAATAAGACCTAGAATTGCAGAAGACCTATGATTGATGACTCAAAAACCTGACTCAATTCAGTTCAATTTTGTGCAAGAAAGGAGTCACTACCCTTTCATTGTAGAAAGCACCACAAAATAGAAGAGATCCAAGAACATGAGCACACTACTTTTTTTTGTAGCCAGCACACATAGAGGGTCATTGTTCTGCACTAACTTGGGGAAAAAACACAATTGTACTCTTCAACACAGAGTGTTCAGACTCAATTTTAGAGCTAGAAAGCCTTTAGAATTTATAGTCAAGCCATCTACTTTATAGATGAGAAAGCTACCATCCAAAAAGTTTCTTTCACTAAATACATTTTTAATATTTATTTTGAGATATTACCTAGATGTGAGATTATATGTCTCCTCAAGCTGACAGACTCATACTTACCACATTCATTTTCTCAAGACACTCTTAATGAGTAAATGAATGAATTCAAAGACTTGTTAAAAGTCACAAATTAGTAACAAGAGGACCTGGAATTAGAACCCCCATATGACTTCCCATTATGTACTCCTGGGTTCGACCAGAACATTCATGAAAGTAGCTAGGAAAACTCAAGCAGGTCTTAGATCAACCCCCAGGTGATCAGCTCCCAAGTGACCGATTTAAGCCCATTTGGAGAAAATAAATGCAGCACTCTGGCACCAGCACATGAAGGACGTTTCATTTTTCCACAGTGTCTCTGGATCAGTCCCTTCCTGGCAATGACAATGACCTTACAGATGCCTTATATAAGGGATCTTCACCTCTATTACCCCCTTAAACTGCTCCTACTTCATTGCCTCTTTGTTTCAGAGTCAAGGTATATAGGCCTTGGAACCAAAATTTTACCAATCTGTACAATGGATTAATGAGTGAAGAAGTCTCTCATCTACTCTTGAGGTACAAGAAAGAAAGGCAAAATGGCATTGCATAAAGGTATTCTGGCTCATAATACCCGAAGACTACTAAGTGTCTAAATTCCATTTCTAACCAAATTTCCCTTCTGGATCTAGATACTAGTGTATTCACCGATTATAAAAGATCAATTGACATGTAGGCCTTTCAGACATTAATCAGCCTTTCTCAACCCCTATTCCTCATCTGAACTATAAAACACAAAAAATTATTCGAGTGACTCTCTTCTCAGTTCTCTCAACAGTGGTACCTAACTTGGATCATCCTTTATTCTTAGGAGAGAAGGTGATCCATTACATACAGTGGGTGCTGTAGGTCATTAGGGTTTGACTCTCTCAGGAAACACTGGCTGTGAAACACAGTAGAGTAATCTAATATATCTATAAGTCATGAACATGTCAAGATTGTTCTTATGATGCATGTGTAGATGTGCATGTACATACATACACACATATACACATATTTTGATAAAGGCCTCTTTTTATGAGCTCTTAAAAATAAAAGTTGATGTATTACCTCCAATATTTTGTCAGAGATAAAAATTCATTTGTATTTTATGTAATGCAAAGGCATTATTTTTCTCTATTTGAAAAACATAACAAAAAAGGCAGTAAATCTTTTGTAGATATGCAAATTGAAACTCAAACAAAAACAGACTGTTGGGATGTTTGAAATGAAGAACATCAAGTGGATTTTGTAGGCAAGTTGGACCAAAATGCATTCCTCTGAAGTATTCGGGAAGTTATTTCCTTCTTTGTAGTTAATCAACAACTAGTTCTAGAGCATCACCCTCGTAAATGGCCTGGGAGGACATGGCAAAGAAAAAGCACTTTGCATATTTTGCCAACTGATGGCTAATGTTTTTTGCCTTTACTTACATTGCCCCATTGAAATCTCTTGTGTAAAATGAAAGTCTGTGATTTGTCTACCATTTCCTTTTGGTCACCAGTTTGTGATTAGAAAATCACTTTCTAGTTGGTAAAATAAAGCAGAGTTTAAGAAGGAAATTACCCTTATAGATTGCCTAACAAGAGCCAGGCATGGTGCTATGTATTTTACACATAATCTCATCTAAGGTAAGTGGTTTTTTCTTTCCCTCTTAAAGATTGAAAATATGAGACTCAGATTTTTGGAGAACTGGGTTTCTAACAGATTTCCGTGGCTCATACATTCAGAATTGTTCTAGGATTCAGCATATCTTCCTCCAATGATGACTAGAAAATAAATTAGGACATTTTAATTATTTTATATTTATATCCCCTATTCAGCAGACACAATTTTTGTCAAAATATGATCACCTTTCCTTTACCCTATATATAAGATCAAAAGAAATTGGAAGCAGCAAGATGAAGAAAATAAAATGCCTGCATGATACTGTATCCCTGACCTTCTTGTCGTGACTGATTCAAATGTACTAGTATTCCCAAAGAACTGGTGTGCCATGTTCCCCAAGAAAAGAAGGTCAACACTCAGAAAACAGAAGCACCAGTGTCCTTAGAACCCTGTGGTGAAGAAAACAAATACAGAGAATATAGTCTGATGATTTAATCATGTCCTTTTATTCTCAGATTATAGTGAGTACATGAGACAGGCCCAGAATTATTTCCTGCCTGTCTTCATTTGAAAATGTCACTTTCACTGATGGTCTTTAATTAGGTTCTCGGGAATTATAAAACATGTCCTCAAGTCTCAGCTAGAACAAATGTCTGGGTTCACGGTCGTGCAGAGTTGAACTTCTAGAAAATCTACTGTCCCCTCTTCGCGTCTTCTCCTTGGCGTGGAGCCTGCTGTTAGAAAACAGAGAACAGTAACTAAAGCAGTAATGGCGAACCTATGACACGCGTGTCAGAGGTGACACATGAACTCATTTTTTTGATTGATTTTTCTTTGTTAAATGGCACTTAAATATATAAAATAAATATCAAAATATAAGTCTTTGTTTCACTATGGTTGCAAATATCAAAAAATTTCTATATGTGACACGGCACCAGAGTTCAGTTAGGGTTTTTCAAAATGCTGACACGCCGAGCTCAAAAGGTTCGCCATCACTGAACTAAAGCATTTTCTTTTGTCCAAAAGCACCAGGCAGAGGCACTTTAAGAAAAGGAAAAAGTCATTCTGCTAAGCCTCATTCAACCAAGCATTAATATTTATTAACATCCACTCTGATGTAGAATGAATGTTTTATGATCAAAAATGAATAACAACAAAATGGGAATTTCAACCACAAGTGACCTACTCTTCCACTGATGAAGAGCTCAGGATGGAGTTAGCCAGCCATTGTCTCTGTATTTAGGGGGGACTCTCATTCAGTAATGCAGACAAAGAAGTAATTGAATACTGCTCCATGTGATTACTGGAAACAATACTCACAACGTTCTGGGCTTTTATCAAAAACAGCCAACTGAAATGAAGCAATAAATTAATGTTACGTTAATGCTACATAAACAAATAGGACATACATGAAAAGAAACACAGAATATTTCAAAAGCTCAGAATTATACATTTTAACTTTAGATTAGATAAACCCTCAAACAATTCGGAAAAGGGAGACCTTTTTTTTTCTATTTTGAACAAAAGCATGTCTGTCTCAAGTTGTCCTATTCATTCATTCACTATTTATTGAGTAGATTGTGATTGATAGACACATAGAAATGTAAAGTTTCAAAATAAGCATCAAGGTTTAAAAAAAATGACTTGTGTGAGATCTTTACTATTGCAGACTTTCTTTATTTAGTTAGTTTGTAATTTCTTTTAACAAACCACTCAATCTTACTACACCTTTTTTCATGGTGAGTTATTACATATTGAGTAACATCTCACCTTCATAGGTAATGTACGCACTGCACAAAGGCACAGAAATAACGACCCCATGGTTTGTATTTCTGTCCTGTCAATTTCAGTTATTCAGTGCAGGGAAAACGTAATGGCACCATGTGACAGTGAACTTGTTGAGTCTTCATTTTCATGGTCTTGAGAGAAGTTTCTACGTAAGTACTTTAGCAGTAGGTTTTAAACACAAATTGTTTTCATTGTGTGCAGGCAGTGTGGAAAGGGGGACCGAGCATAGATTTGGAATCAGGCAGGCCTGGGTGTGAATTCTGGTTCTATGTGCAGCGAACTCTTAAAAAAATCTACTTTACCTGTTTCTTCATCTACAAAATAAATATAACAGCCTCTACCTTGTCAGATTGTTGCAAGGAACATAGATAATGTAAGTAAAGCAACTAACTCACAATAGGTTTTGCTTTCCTTTTATTTAAAAAATCTGAAAGGCCACACTAAGAATTGTTCTTTTTTAAGTAGTGTAATTCGCCATGAAGTTAAAAGAATGACAACAACAAAAATAGGACAGTGATAATCATTTTGAGCCTGATTCATATTCATCTCATGAGGCAGTTATTTTACATTCAGTGTTTATTTCCACTTAAATAAGGTATTGAATAAGAACAGTGTGGATATGAAATAACAGAATTTCAGATTATTGAATAGGCTTGACAGAAAAATTCACTCCCCCCGACCCCCAGCTTTCACCATTCTCCAGAATCATCATTGCTCTGCTATGTCTACTGGGGTATGCACATGATAGAGAAGAGAAAGAATCAAACAAAAATAACTAAATTGAAAAATTATTTTTAGTTCCTCAACAAATAAAAGATCAACTTCAAAACGAAACAATCCTTCATGTGCCAATTTTTGTGCACAACAGAAGTACAAACTCTAGTTCTGTATGCATCCAGTAAATAAATACATAATTCTTTCAGCATAATCTTGCTTGACATAGAAAATTCACCACAAATCTTGCTTCTATCCCAACCAGTATTAGGAAGAGGAAGTAGACTGTGCTTTCACTGCACCAAAGGATTGGTTTTCCTTCTCTCTCTCTTCTCTCTGCCCATTTCTCCTTTTAAAATGCTGCTTTCTTTTCTCTGACTTCTGCCTCTTCCCTTTGAAATCCTGCAGGTTGTCCGCCCATATCAGACCATGTCCAATCCCATGAGCAAGCTCACTGTTCTCAACAGCATGCATTCCCACTTCATTCTGGCTGACAACGGGACCACCGGGAAATATGGAGCGGAGGTGAAACTCAGGAGACAGCTGGAAAAGCATATTTCGCTCCAGAAGATAAACACAAGTAAGTAGCTACTTTTCCCACTCTCATGCCTCCTCAGAAGTGTGTTGGAAGTGAATAACTTTAAGTACAGCATGCAGAAATACTATGAAAACTTGAGCAAGTTTCGAGAATGGATCATTATGATTTCTACTGGGGCCAGTTGTTAGAATTAGAGGAAGTTGTCTAGAGGAGGACAATTGGGGGCCTAAGGAAGGCTCACACACTTGATTAGCGGACTCCATCTCATTTATCATGCATGAAAAGTTCAGCCCCTTCTGGGGTTTGTGGATGCAGATGAGCTTTTCTCTCCAAACGTTTCCTACATCTTTTACACAAAATATCCTTAAGGAGGAAAGGCACCCTAGGGAAATTGTTTCTATTTATTACACTATTTTTGATAGCTAGAAAAAAGTACTTGGCTTTGATCTTAGCACAGGTATGGCTGTGTGAAGGTATTCCAGGGGAACTGACATTCTCTAAACTAACATCACGTGTAACCATCTTGATGAAACTTCAATTCCGTCTCATATGTATTCATTCATGGTCTCATGATACGTATGTATTTAGATATATGTATACCACATGCTATGTATCCGATGGTTACACTAAAGTTCTCTCTTCCGTATTTCTGTGTTCTATGCTTTATCGTGTACACATTTGTTTTAACTGTGAAGGGTCCATTGTAACGACAGCACTGCTCCCCCGCTCACTCAGTGCCTGGCATTTCCATGTGATAGAGGTATGAAAAGAATCTACTGTCTCTTCTCACAAAATAAAATTCAATTTGTTTTCACAAAGTAACAAGCGAGGCTTCTCGGCAGGCTCAGACTTTGCGGTCATCCATTGTGTGTCCCATCAGGGAAACGTGAATTGAACTGATTGAACTTTCAAAGCCTGCAATTCCAAATAAGAAAAAAGTTCTCTCTGGCTGGATAAGTTCTCAAAAGTTCAGTATAATGTGATTCAACTTGTCCAAATGGCTGTTCTCTTCTCTAGCCTTTTCTCTGCATCTGGGTTATAGCAAGTGGGGTTTCCTTGCTATAACCACCTTTCTCCCAGGACTGGATGTTCAGCTTACGAGACCACAACTTCTTTTTCTTATTTTCTCCTTTCTGGTTTTACTTTTGAGGGACTGCTGCTGTTTAGCCAGTCAACTTTCATACCTTCATCTTTTTCGTAGGGAATTGTAGAACAATAAATTTTGGTGTAGACCTGAAAGGAAAATTGTATTAGTAAACTCTCTTCTATCTAAGAATCCTCAACTGCCCTTGGAAAGGGAAAACATGGTATTATCCTGAAGGAAACATCTTTTGGGGGGGAAAAAAGGAGAAAAGACTAGAAAATGCTATAAAGCACTATAACCAAGGGGTGGTAGGTTTTGTTATCCTAAAATTGAATGTTATTATAATATTCGATAGAATGGATAAATGTTATGTAACTAGTGTTATCTGTTTAAGTTTTTTATAGGCTGTAGCATTACACCCTCAGATTAAAGATGAGAGCCTACCTGGGAGTCACCTGAAAGCTGAAGAGGTGGGAGCAGGGTGGACAAGGAGCAAATTCACTCAAGTTTGGCTCAGTAATGAGACAGAATCTGTCCAGACGAGCCAATCGTGTCATTATGTCAGCCCCTGGTGGCGGCTGAGACAGTCAGTCAGTAGTGTTAGGAGGAGAGGTAGGTGTGATTGGATACATTATACACCAGCTAAGGGGTGCCCACCTGAGTTAAAACCTATCCAGTGCCTCCCAGGCTGCCCAAGGAAAGGATGTTCTATTCTAATTGGTCAGCCCCTAATTTACTCTGCTGATAATTAGACGCTATGCCGTCATACACTATCCCACTCTCCCACAGAAATACTGCCCCCCACCCATCACACTCAGGATGTCCGAATATATACTCGGCATTTCTTCATTAGGTGTCATTCCTCCTCACTGCTTATGAGTGACCTTCATGCCACAGTAACCTTTCAACAAGTCTATTTTCCTACATAATGATAAAATCTTCTGGAGAGTATTTTCCTTAAATATTAAGTGAATCCTGCTCAGGAGACCTTTAAATCCTTTTTGATCAACATGCCAGTTATCTGCAATAGCATGTTACAAGCACAGTGTCTTCCATATGTATACTACGCTGGCCTCTATGATCTCATCTCTCCCCTCCCTCCACTCCTTCCTGCTGCCAACAGTCTGTCCTGAGTATCATCATTGGTCATTGAAGGGCTTTGTTTTTAAAGGAGAATCCTTTCAGATGTGAGCAGTTGCCTGCTTTGGAACACTCTTCCATTTGCAATTTTCTTAACTTCACCTTTAACATGCAAAGCCTCAAACCATTCTGATCATGCGTTTAGTAAACAAGTATTTCTTGAACTCTTATTTTGTACCAGTCATGGTGAAGGTCTAGAATAACAGCAGTAGACAACTCGTTGAGCTTAAGTCAAGAGGGGCAAACAGAGAAATAAGTAAATAAGTAAACAAGTAAATATATGATGCCTGGTAATAAAAAGCACTATTAAGAAAAAATAAAGCAGAAATATATGTGCATGTGGACATGTGTGCACATGTGTGTGTGCATGTATGCATGTGTGTTGGGAGGATAGTGTAGATTAGGTGGTCAGGAATGGCCTTTATGAGGAGGTGATGTGTAAGCAGAGGCCTGAAATCAGGGAGCCAGCCGTGGAAAGAGCATTCTGGAGAGAATTAAAGCAGGGACAAAGGCCCCAGGTGTTCAGTGAAGAGCAAGAAGACCTGTGTAAGGAGTTGGAATTTATTCTAACAGAACTTTGATCTGTTAAGTTACAGGAGCTCCCTTATGGTTTAAAGCAGGGGTCCTCAAACTACGGCCAGCGGGCCACATGCAAATACAAATATTGTATTTGTTCCCGTTTTGTTTTTTTACTTCAAAATAAGATATGTGCAGTGTGCATAGGAATTTGTTCATAGTTGTTGTTTTTAAACTATAGTCCAGCCCTCCAAAGGTCTGAGGGACAGTGAACTGGCCCCCTGTTTAAAAAGTTTGAGGACCCCTGGTTTAAAGGAAGCAACTGCAATAATGGAGAAGAGAGATGGCAGTGGTTTGAATTAGGATGGCAGCAATAGAGGTGGCAAAAAGTGGTTATAGTCAAATATTTTTTTCTTAACTGATCTTTTTTTCATGTAACAAATTTTACATAACCTAAAATTTACCATTTCAACCATTTTAAGTGTAAGTTCAGTGGCATTAAGTACATTTCATTATTGTGCAAAAAATCATGGCTCTCTATCCCCAGAACTTTTTTGTCATCCCCAAGCTGAAACTCTGCACCCATTAAACTCTATCTCCCCATGCCCTCCTCCCCCCAGACCCTGGTAACCACTGTTCTACTTTCTGTCTCCATGAATGTGCCTATTCTAGGTACCTTGTGTAAGTGGAATCATTTTGGTCCTAGGATATATTTTGAAGGTAGAGCTCAAGAGGACTTGCTAATGAATTGAGCATTTGGGGTAAGGAATAGACACATCAAGGATGCTGCATGGTCATCCATAGAGATACCATCGTATTCTTAAAATAATGATACCAGGTTAGAGTCTAATGAGTATGTCTTTACAGAAAAGAAAAGGGAGTTGAGGATAATTCTCAGGGGAATTGGAATGAGGTCTTTAAGAAGGAGGGAAGGGGTGAGATTCAGTGCACACATGAAAATGCGGCCTTAGGTAGAACAGGGATAATTTTATCCTGTGTAGCAGAAGTGAAGACAGGGTATCTGGGTGCAGGTGTGGGCAGGATGGAGCATTTTCTGGTGGGAAGATCAGATGGGTTTTGTAGACCCACTTGATATTTGTGACCAAGAGTTTAAAGTGCCATGAATCATCAGGATTGTGTGTTTTCTCTCCACCCATGTTCAGTTTGAGTAGTAGAATAAGCATAGGGTTGGGTTGAGCACACGCTGGGATTTTGTCAGGCAAGTACAAAAGAGGGAGAGAGAAACTGTATGTACTCTATATACATATATCCAAAGAGTATTATCCTAAGTGTCTATGGATGAAAGCAATGCTGTGGCTGACAGTCATGAGAATATACAATCATTCATCTAAAAGACCAGACTGAGGTACAGAGAGGTGGTTAAGTGAGTTATCAAAAGTGACCCAAACCTTTAGTTTAGCGGTTCTCAACCTGTAGGTCGCGACCCCTTTGGCGGTCGAATGACCCTTTCACAGGGGTCGCCTAAGACCATCCTGCATATCAGATATTTACATTATGATTCATAACAGTAGCAACATTACAGTTATGAAGTAGCAACGAAAATAATTTTATGGTTGGGTCACAACATGAGGAACTGTATTTAAAGGGCCAGAAGGTTGACAACCACTGCTTTAGTTAGTATTGCCAAACATCACATATACTAAGCTTGAACTAAAATAAGCAAAAGTCCATAATAAACAATACCTCCTACTTATTTTATTGATGTTCACATAGTCACACAAGTTGAATCAACTTAGCACATTCCTAAATCCACCTATGTGGATGTGTAAATATATGTGGCCTGGTGCACAAAATTTGTGCACATTAAAAGGGAATTAATTAGAGGAAATATATTAATATTGCTATTTGCCCTTTCTCTATAATAGAAGTGTCAGAGATGAAAGAAAATTAGTAAAATGTATATGAAAATCTCCCTCCTGTCAGAGTCTGGGGCGCCCCGCCCACCTGCATGCGCCTCAAAATCGCACGAGACTCAGACCCAGCTGGCCCTACCCCCGTCAAGCCCTGCCGGGCAGGGGGCTCAGCCTCAGGTCCCCCATCAAGCCCCACTGGGCAGGGGGCACAGCCTCAGGCCCCACACCCCACCATGAGGGCAAGAGTGTGTGAGGGCATGATAACCATTTGCATATTAGTTCTAATTATATATAAATTAGAGGCCTGATGCACAAATTCAAAATAATAAAGGTTTTCTTTCATCTCAAAATAATTTTGAAGGAAATCCAGACATTCATATAATTTCATTATATTTCATTATCATAAATATTAAAGTACCAAAACATTTTTTAACTTGTATTGGCAAAATGTAGGGTAGATTTTAGAAGTATTTCCTTAACTCAGTGACAACATATTGGCAAACATTATCCAAGAACTCTTTAACAATTCTTTCAAAAAATTAAAATTTTATTATTTA